TGGATTGGAACAATTTACCTTTCTGTTTTGGCTTTGGCTTTTGCATTTAGGACTGGTTTTTGATTTTGTAACCGATAAATGGAGTTCAAATAGTGGTTCTTTTGTAATGGAACATACACACCATTATGGGTCTGGTTATTTAATCTTAAGTTCTAGGTTTGGGTTAGAGTTTCGGTTTCTGCGTTAGGGTTTGGGTTGCAATTTTGTTTCTTGGTTTGGATTTCGGGTCTTATTTTGGGCGGTTTAAGGTTGAACTTTACACCAACTAGAGGGACTGAGCAAACCTTTATGGATGTTTGTGCAAAGTTTTTGTAGCCAGGGAAGAATTCTGGCCAGATTTTAAGTCCAAAAATCTGTAGCACATCGGACAGAATTCTAAGCAGTTTTTGGAATTGATTTGGCAACAGAATCAAGAAATGTAAGTTATGCAATGAGCACATTGGAGGGACGTACCCCCTAAATGTGAAGATGAATTGAAGCCTAAAGTTGGCATGTTATTTAATTGGTCTGAATATGGATGAGACTTTTATAAAAGGTATGCACACTCTGTCAGTTTTAGTATTAGCAATTTAATAAAAAACTAATGATAAAACAATGAGTCCGTGGTAATACATTCACTGCGAAATCTAGGAAAAGAATTGTGTACACCCAACCATCGTAACCCATTTGCATAATGGATTTCAAGAGTCCATCACTCACTCCTTAATTTATAGCCTCGAAATTTAAAAAATCAAATGGTACAGCTCTCGTATTTGAATAAACCAGATTGTCCTATTCTTTAGATGCTTTAGAGTTTAAAATTTACAACTTGGAATTTTATACATTCTAAAGAGCAGTTTGAAATTGCTACTGTATTTTTTTTCACATCTCTAAACATGCTGGTTGAATATTTTTAAATGTGATATGGTCATTATATCCAAGTCTAAAAAACAAAACAATTCAAATCCATAAGAAACATAGAATACTTTAAATCTCCCAACTTTGAAAAATTGATGTTAAATTGTAAGTTATCTTGTTTTAGGTTCAGGAAACGTGGGAAAAGAATTGTGTATACCCAACCATTCTAACCCATTTGCATAATGGATTTCAAGAGTCCAACACTCACTCCTAACCTTTACCAGAGTCCAACACTCACTCCTTACTTTATAGCCTTGAAATTTAAAAAATCACATGGCACACCTCTCATTTTTCAGTTTCAAACAGGATTGCAAAGACGTAAAAAAACAGGTCATAATTTAAAAACTGCTAAAAAATGTATTCTTTATAGTCAAAACCTTGCAAGTTATTATGCAGAATGTTCAAAGGAAGTAATGTGAGCAGAATACACATCTGAATTTGAGCACTCTTGAATACATGGAATTTAAATTACCT